CTCGCACGGAGCCACCGCGCTGTCGCGTTAACTCCTTGAGTGCCACCGGCCTCCCGCCCGGGGCAGCCCGGGACGCCCGCAGCCTCCCGCCTCAGTTTCCCCGTCTGCAAAATGGGCTCGAGACCCACGTCGCAGGGTGGTGGGGAGAATTAACCGAGATGATTACGCCAAGGGCCGAAGCGCCTGGCAAGGAGGAAGCGCTCCATAAATGGCAGAGTATTTGCGGCTGCGGCTGTTGCTGCTGCCGCCGCCACCGCTGCTGCTCCTCCTCCTCCCCCCTCCACTCCGGGCCCTGGCGCTGGTGCTTGGTAAACTGTCAACACCCAGTAACGGGTAGTTTTGTTTATTGGTGTTCCGTTGGCTGTTTCAGTTTTTAGCTGTGTGACCTCTGGCTGATCACTCGCCCTCTCTGAGCCTGTGGCCTTGCAAGCTCTATGACCTTGAGCGAGGCGCAGCACTCCTCTGAACCTCTGTATCTTCCTCTGTAAAGGGGTGATGGTAATGCCATCCACCTGGAAGGGATTCCGGGGGAATCTCTGGGGAAGGAGCTTATGTCACCATGATGAGCCTCGGTTTCCTCATCCCCAAAGTGGGAACAGTGACAGTAAGTACTTGATAGGTGACTGGGCTGGTTATGGGCTGTAATGCCCGGGGCCTGCTCCAAGCCCATCAGCTGGTTATAATCCCACAGGAAAGGGATGTCTGAGAAATAATGAGGAGAATGGGCCTTGAACCTTGGGGACAATTGCAGGTAAGAACAGTAGGCCAGGTTAAGTTGCCGTTTTAGTGTTACTCTGGTGCACGTGGGGCACTCCTGTACTAATTTCTTTTTCACTATTTACCTGGAATTTAAATCTAATTAGTCCTGCATTTTGATGGGTTCCATTTTGCCAGTGAAAGCCCATAGTTATGAGCTGAGTGCCCTGAGGTAGGTTGCTTAACCTCTCTGGTCTTGTTTTCCTAATCTATAGAATGGGAATCAAGATCCCCTGCCGTGTTAACAAGGAATGAAATGGTTTCAAGTAGTGCATGTTCCGGCTTGGCTTGTGCTAAGCACTCTGCGTTTGTGCCTTGCCCTCGCCACCATCTGCCCGGCTCTCCTTCTGTTCTTCCTCTTTCTGCCTCAGACTTGGGGTTGCCAGGGCACCCACAATCCTTGTTTGACCCCATTGTTGGTCTTTGAAAGATTAGGATTATCTATAAAACGTGGGCAGTACAGTTGCAGGAGTCACACACACACACACACACACACACACACACACACACACACACACGTCAATCAATCAGTGACTTCATCGAGGACACCCAGCTCCTCCCTGATCTCTGCCACCCCAGGGTCCAGGTTTCTGCGGGGACCCCGCCTTCTCTCCAGCTCTGAGGTCAGCTCGGGGTTGTATCGTTTCTGGCCAAACATCCACGGCGGGACTTGGGAAGCCAGGAGAAGAGAGAAAGTGAATTGTGAAATAATCACGAGGATCCAAAGGAGGCGATATCAGGGAGCTCCTGAGGGTTCAGAGCAGGCACCACCTCTGAGCCGGGTCCCTGGAACTTGTCACTAACCCAGCCGTCACCACCATTTCAGCCACAGTGTCTAAAAATAGAATTTGCTCTGATTTCCCCAGGAGCTAAAGCAGAAGGAGAGAATGGGCGGGTTGTGAGTGGGCTGGGCAGGGTGCTAAGTAACTTCCCTCTGATGGCAAGAGGGGGACTGGCGTTCAGATATGTCAGGCCACCCTGCCCAGGACAGAGGACATGGCTGAAGCTCTGGCTTTGCTACCTCCTAGCTGGGTGGCCTTGGGTAAATTACTTAACCTCTCTGAGCTTCATCTTTTAAAAAGTAGAGATAGTGATAGTTGTGACCTTATGAGGCTTTTGTGCAGATTAAGTGACGAGCACCTGCGTGCACAGGCCTCCTGTGAGTCCTAAGTACCCCAAACCCCCTCTGTCCAAAGTTGGAGTTTGGTCCCCCATCTGAACTCCTAGAAATCCAGAGATTGGTCTCTCAGAGATCAGTTTCTCTGTCCCCATCACCCAGCATAGACTTAGGACATAATAGATGCTCAGGAAAAAAAAGACTGATGAACAAATTAAACTGTGCAGTATTATCACAGATACACAAGTGTCTTAGTTTCTGCGCGCTGCTGTAACAAAACACCATGAACGGCACAGCTGATAGACAGCAGAAACTTCTCTCTCACTGTTCTGGAGCCTGGAAGTCAAAGATCAAGACTCTGGAAGATTCAATATGTAGGAAGTGCCTTCACTTGACCTCCTTGCACGGTGCCAGGGGCTGGCCAGCTCTCTGGGGTCTCTAGTCTAAGGCCACTGGTCTTAATTGTGGGGGCTCCGCCCTCCTGACACAGCCACCCTTTAAGGGCCACCTCCTCAAATCCTTCCTCAAGAATTTTGACAAATGCACTTGGAAAGAACATTGAGGCCACAGCTCCTGGTACGATGAGGACAGCTTGCCCATCAAAATTTTAATACAGCTGGGCACGGTGGCCCACGCCTGTCATCCCAGCGGCTCGGGAGGCTGAGGCAGGAGGATCTCGAGTTCAAAGCCAGCTTCAGCAAAAGTGAGGCCCTAAGCAACTCAGTGAGACCCTGTCTCTAAACAAAGTACAAACTAGGGCTGGGGGTGGGGCTCAGGGGTCAAGGGCCCCTGAGTTCAATCCCTAGTGTCTTCCCCCCCAAAAAAAATCAGCACCGAGAGCATCCACGGCCACACTTCCCCACGGTGAAAATCTGGGCAGACTCTAGATGCTGGTCAATAAGCAAATGGGTGCATCGACTCCAAAGGGCAGCAGGGGAGATGAATGTTCTAGAACTCCCTGAGTCACTGTGGGAGTCTCAGAAAACACAGTGTGGGGTCTGGGGGAACAACCGCTCTGCATAAGGCTCGCGTAGGTGACACCCCCTGAATAAAGTTCAAACACCCCAAGAGCAACCCAGCCGGTTTTTACGGGTGCAGTTACGTCTATGGGAAGAGGGTGGACACGTGCCGGGGGTGAGGTCCGCAGGTTCTTCAGGGAGAGAGACTGCCCTGGGGGGGAAGGGGGGCAGGGAGCCCGCGGAGCCTCAGGCTATTTTTAGTGTTCTGTTGCCCGGATGGTCGGGTAGATTCATAGACATTCATCATATCGTTCTCTGCACGCTTCTGAACGCCTGGAATCATTCATTAAAAATAAGAAAGAACAATGCAGCTGTGGAGGGTGCAGAACAGAACACGCCTCGCTCCTCCGACCCTGTTGTGATGGCTGCCGGCTGTGTGTCTTCCAGTCAGGAACTTAACCTCTCTGAGCCACAGTGGTCTCAACACAGCCACTCCTTTCCACCGTTGCCTGTTGGAAGAATTCAGTGAGATTGGGTGTAGGAGTTGCTGGAGGCCACGTCCTCTGTGGCCACGTGGTGGCTGTTGAATCACATGGTGCTGGATGGCCAACAGCAGTCTGAATTACTTGACAACTGGAACCGTCTGAGGCCACCCGGTTCGGGCCTTTCTTGGCAGGTGCAAGCCCTGAGCCTGGCTGGGGCGGGTGAGGTGTCCAAGGTCATGTGAGAGGGTCTGAGAGCGTCTCTGGGTCTTCGATGCTCTTCCCACAGACCCTGCAGAACCCCTGCCTCCTTCTCGGGAGCCGGGCCACCACAGGGGACCCAGAGCGGGGGACGGACGGAGCCCAGGGCCTCGTCCATGCTGCTCAAGTTCACGGCCACCCAGCCCCACCCCCAGCCCTCAGGGACCTCTCTCAGCAGCCAGAGCTTTGCTGTCAGCGCACACCCCGTGGGCTCCGTGCCCAGCCCCCACCTGGAGGCCACCCGAATGTCCCCAGGGAACGTGACAAATAGTGTCGCATTCTTTCCACAGGACACCGTCCAGCAGGAGGGAGGAGTGGATCGTGGCTACCGTGACGCCCGGGTCAATGTCACTCACGCGCTGTTCAAAGAGGCCAGGCCCAAGGCCGGGAGGGCGGGCGGGCGGTCACTGTCACTTATGTCAAACCCCAAACTGCAAAAGTGTCCATGCTGCGGGGGTCAGAGGAAGGGGTGACCGGCTCTGGAAGGGCTGACCGGGACGGGCTGCCAAGGACAGGGTGTTTTAGGGGGCCGGGAGTGCTCCTGTGGTGGACCTGGGTGGGGGTGGCCTGTCCCTGGCTGGGCCCGTATTCTCCGTCCACATGTTGGACGTCATGACAAGGGTCTTGAGAAGACTTCCTCTAGGACCCAGAGCTGTCCCATGCCACCCTGGGCCAGCCAGCGGTCCCTCCTGCGCTCCACCTTCATTTCGGGCTCACCCGGGAAGGGGACTGCCGCCACGGAGCCAGGCCAGGTGGGGACGAGGGTCATGACCCGGGACATGTGATCAGAGAGACAGAGAAAGGCGAACCTCCCAAGTTATCTGATTTGGCAGGTCCCCGGGGATCCAATGACCCAGATAATGGTCAACCTGCCGTGGTGACACCGCACATGGTCGCCAAA